TGGTCTATTATTCCACCTATTGTTAGGTACTAGTGGTGTCCTTGTAAGGGTTTCGAATGTACTGCTTTGTGGGTTAGTTCCCAGCAGACTTGTACCGTATATCCGATCAAAATTTATTTGTGTGCCATACTGTGAATACCCTGAGTTGTTGGTGGTCGAGTTCTGACTATTGTCACTTGTACTCTTGAGGGTGGCATTGTTTTGGCGTTGGTTATCAGTGTGGGCCATGGTGCTATTTCGCACGTTGTGGGTGCCAATACTATTGACCGTGGGAAGTGTGGGCTTACTTATACTGCCATTGTTGTTGTTGGCATGATTTGGGGTCATATTCTTCTCTTTTTTAACAATGGACTTATGGCTAGGAGAGGACAGGGTCAACTTTCGGGGGATTTTGACTTTCTTTCTTGGATTATTTAGTGACATGTCTAAATCTACGGTGGTAGGTGGTATAGTTTTATTGGCTATTTGATTACAATTTAGCGGCCTTTCGGTTGGTGTCGCTCTCTGAGGAGATAATTCTGTGTGGTTAGAGAGGGGTGGTGCGGTGGATTCTACGGTGTCTCTCAAAGGGTTGGGTATAATTGCTGCTTGCAATGTCCTATTGTTTATTCCACAATTAGACCCAGTGTGATAATTATATACGCGCCTTTCTATGACGGTCTTGTCCACCGCAACCTTTATTAGTTTGTAATTTCTGGCTTGCGATAGGGTGTGTTGGGAGTGGGTAAATTTTCTGGCCTCTGCCGGTGTTTCGAACTGAAAACGAATAGGACAACACTTGTCATGTTGACTCTTCTTCAGCCTGTAGCACTTAGTCTTGGAGTTGGGCATTTTCGCCTCACTAAGTAAGATGCGCTGTACCATTTTTAGTGCCTCATTGTCCGGAACGTTGTAGACAATAGCATTTAGTTTAGCATCGATTCGTTTTGTTACTTCTGTAGTAACAAAGTTAATGAGGTTATCCACCTTAGATACCGATTCCGTGTCAAGTTTGTTAAGGTCTACAGTTCTCATGAGGATAGTTAAAGGTGTCAGTTCACAGACCTGCGATCTGATATCGCTGATCTGATCTGATAATTTGGATATTTTGGTATTGGTATCAGAAATTCCTGGATATACTGACTTGTTTTTTATTTCCCTTAACTCGGCCTTGAGTTCTCCTATAGACAACTTTAGGAGTTCTATTTCAGAAGATAGTTCTGAAACATAGCTTGAAGGCTGGAGCTTTTCGATAAGTACGTAAGGTGAAGGGAGGGTTTCTGTGTGAGCAGAGGGTACTGAATTTTTGGGAGTAGTGCTAATACTAGCTGTCAATACAGTTTTATCCTCAGTTTCAGCTCGACGCTTACGACATACAAGTGGGTTATGTGGCTCAGTATAACCATTTGTAGGGAGTGTGTTGCTTGATGTAGCAATCAGCGACTTGAGATTAGTCATCAGATTTACAGGGGATTGAGTTCGTTGCTTTTTACTTTGGTTAACCATAACTATTTGATATGAGACTTAATAGTTATAGGTATAGAGGTAGTAGAGTACTTGTGCAAGTATTACAACAAGATAAATTTTATGTAACGAATCACGCAAAAATGTAACGCAAACGTTGGACGTACCGTGTTTCGTGGTTAACTAGCTAGGGACTGTGCACAAACGAAAGAACAAACGTAACGAGACACGTGCAAAATGGCGTCGATGCTTGGCCGAGGGCTTAACAAGATGACATCCACAGTGAGGATCAGCATACAATATTCAGCAATGAATGCTGTGACTAGTAATTTTGGGGAATGACATAAAGCCACAGTACTATAATAAGTTAGCTGTTAACGCAGGCTGAAAGACTTAAAGTTCCTCTTCATTTTATTTATAGCCAGAAGTACTATAATAATAGCTGTGTTCATCTACTGTGGTGCGGATCCTATCTGGCCACAGCTAAGTGACTCGTAAACGGAAGCCAATTTGAATCCAAATAGTAGTCGCTCCTCACTCCATCAAACTGCCAAAGGGAATATACAGTGCCTTTTCCTGCCCAAATTATGTTATTGTGCTGCTATATTTTGATTAAACTAGCGTATACGTATATCCTAATACTTCTTCCCGTTTATAATTGTGTCCTAACGTTGTGCTTCCTCGACACACACAACGTAAATCGGAAGACACTTGAGAAGGTGTAGGAATGTGTATTCTCACCGTAATCAAAATTCAAGAGTTGAGCGAGTACAAAATGTATCAATTGTTAACACGCAAGATTTAGAGTAATAAACAAATCAAAGTACAATTACACAACGAAAGTATAGTACGATGATGAGTAATAAAATGGGTCACTAAAATAGCCCCTCCGTAGAATGCAGGTAAATGAAGTTCACCTGTATTCGGAATGATATTGTAAATTACAAGGACAAAAAAATATGAAAACCGAATTGAGGCTTTTAAGTTTTCTGAGGTTCGATTATAACTGTATATATTCGAAAATGGTAACAACTTTGAAACGAACTGAAATAATCATGATCACCACCAATGACATCACACTCCCACAACAACTAGTCACAACCAACACACATCAATAACAACAAACCACACAAACACCTGCACACTCACCAACAATCACACAAGGAAACAAATCCCAAACTCACATTGTCAGACACCAATGTAGTGCCTCTGGTAGGGATCATTACACAACCAATGACATCGTTGCTCGGCATACTCACTATCAGCCACGGTAGGACACCCCATCATCACGGGGAAAATGCATCCACACAGGCTAACTCTAATCACAAACAACCCTCAGACACTCCACAAAACAAACCAACACATCATTCCTATCAACACCGAATCATCAACACTATCAACAACACTCAACCTCTCCGATGCATGCACACTTACATACTAACACAAATACACATACGCGAACACGCACACGCACACAGTCAAACAACACCATTCTCATATCTTCCATACACTCACCACTATATCATATACCTCCGAGCAACGAAACAAAACAAAATCAAACAGAAAATACACTCTGTCAAAACATCAACTAACTAACCAACCAACCAACAACACAAACGCAGACGCTACCACCATAAAAGCAACAACAACAACACCAGCAACATCAACAACAACATCAGACACTCACAACTACCCATCAATCACACAATTCTGTGTACACACAAAATCAAATCCTACTACTACTGCTACTGCTACTACTACTAAAAAATAACTACCACCAGCGCAAACGCAAACGCCTCCTCTCCTACTAATGCTACTTCACACAGACAACCAGAATATCTCCACAAAATACAACATCAGCAATCAAATCATAACCACCACGAACACAAATACAACAATAACAGCAATATCCATTCCAATGCACAATATCAATATCCATCCCATCATCACACCACTCCATATCAGTCATCACAAACAATCCACATACCAACACCACCACGAATTCACACACGCAGATACAGACACACAATCACTCGACAACAAAACCACCAATACTGACAAAATCAACGAACACAATCTCATCGATGTTCCCAGTGATGCTGATGAAGACGACGATGAGGGTGGTCAGTAGTAACAGTTGACCAAACGACAGGTGCACTCAATCACCCACCGCCATCAAAACCACCTCAAAATTCGTCAACAACCACATTCCCATCACCGAATTCCAATATACAACACACATATTCCAAATAACACAATAAACAAAACAACCAGACAACCTCAAATACAACACAATGCAATACGCTACGATACCATGAGATACAATACAATACGATATGATACACATCACAATTATACATCGACGCCACACAAAATCAAATCAACACATCACACTCACCACACTCAACAATCAGACCAAGTCAAACTCTCATTCACCACAAATTACACACACTTATCCACCCCCATCATCCCACGACGCAACATCATCATCAATAAAAGCAGAAAAATTATTATTAGAATAATAATGAGGTTGTTATTGTAAAGAGTTACAGAATAGATTTATATCTTAACATACAGTTAATACATTATAAATTATTTAAATTAATCCCAGCGTAACACCTACGGCCTGGAAACCTATAATACAGTTAATAGTATAGTAATAAGGAAGTATGGGGGTGACTTGGATAAACATTCAGTCACCTCTATTTCCATGAAAGCTGGTTGTATAAGTGGAATTGTACCGGAAGAGATGGCTGTGCCAGAGAAGAGTGCAGCAGTAGCTGCTGCTGATACGGTTGAAAGTGAACTTCCGTCAGTATGTTGTTGTTGTTGCTGGGGTGTTGTTACTCGGCGTTGAGGAGTAACTTGAATTGATGTTTGCTGAGGTTGGAGAGTAGCAGTTGGTTGATTGATAGCCATTCCAACAGAAGCAGTTGGCATAAACTGTGGTAAACCAGTGGTTTGAATCAACTGACCGTTAGGACCAACAGCCATGACTTTTAATGGAGCTCCTGGTGCCAGAGTGCAGCGGAGCATGCAGCTACAGTACCAGGTTGACCACTGACAGAGACGTCAGTTGCCATCATTGTTGGTTGTTGCTGGTGTTGTTGGATATAAGCTGGCTGTTGAGCTGGTTGTAACTGATGAGCTTGTGCTTGAATCTGTTGTTGTTGTTCAGGTGGTTGGGTCAACTGTTGTTGTAATTGAACAGCTGTAGGACCGGCTTGAGTACATAGAGTTGCAGACTATTGCAAGAGTGTTTGACCACCTGTAGACAATGCTGAAGCTTGAGGACTAAGGAAGAACTGTTGAGTTGTGCCTGCTGGATTACCAGAGAACTGGAATTGAGGTGTTGCATAACAACCAGCTGCTACAGCTGCTTGAGTATCAGGGTGAACAGGGATAGCAGTCGCTGTGCCGCCATTTACTGCAGGTTGTGCGATGAGATAGCACAAGAATGAGTTCGAAATGTCTAGAAAATATATAGATCCACGAAAGTTAGAGTTTTATTAATCCAGCAAGTGTAACTATGCGTCGAGGTCAACAAGTTGTCGTCGGGGTCATACAGTCGAGCTTTCACATGATTATCATCTCTAGTTAAGTGTAAAACTGCAGATTTCAAATATTCAAGTGAAAATCTAACATGAAATAGTGAATGGTACGTCGTGTAAATTTTCAATAATGATGTCATCAGTTGTTTTCACTTTGTTTGAAGTGATTTCTAGTTGGCTTACTAGAACATCTGCGTTACATCACTACGTGTACATATCATGGGATTGACCATCTCGTCCGTCTTCCAACGGTTGTTTGGGAAGAAGTCCATGAGGATTTTAATGAGTAAGAAGTAACTTTAACTTTCCGTGCGGTTAGTCAATGCTTAAGCACTAATCGTAGTATTATTTAGCGTACTACTTAGTGCACTAACTATACTGTGGTATACCGTTAACTTATTCACTATCACTTCTACAGAAGCACTCCTCTAAGTAATTGACAGCTTAATGCACCTAAAGGAAGATTATGCTTACAACTGTATTCATGCGTAACCAAGTGGTTTCAAGACCCTATTACTATCGTACATAAGGTTTCGCAAAAATCTCAACGTATTGGCCTTCAAAATCACTGATATGTTATTATTTCATTGTCAAAAGTACTATCTTATGATGTGTCTTTATTTGTAGTATGTTATTTTTTAGATCTATATGATATTATACTGAAACTAGCAAATTTTTATAAAAACGGTTATGCACTGCAACTCAGCGTCATTCTTATTCTTACAGTTCTGCATCGTGTCAGTATTAAGTAGACAATCGACAAATAGCTGAGTATCTTGATAGATATAGCTAGCTTTAAGAAAGTTTGACTTAGAGTAGAGCTTATGAAATTCAGTGCTCACTTCTCTGCAAGTGAACAGGTAGTGTGCTGAGTCCTTGAACACCATATGCTTCGATACTTCATAGGTTTTTGTGTTTTTCGGTTATTAATAGGTTTTCTTGTGAATCGCATTGTAGTTGGGAAAGAGATTATTATTGCAAACAAAAATTGCTACTTCACATCTCTAGAATATTTTAGTTGCCTTATATGCATTTAAGGGTTAAGCGTTTACGTCACCATAAAGGCGGTGTACATTTCTGACAATTGCAAAGTTATTTTTGCCACATAATTCACTTTTGAGGTCAATATCAAAACTTAAAACTGAGCCCTGTTGGATTTAAAGTGGGATAGAGTGGAATTCCATGTGGATTGTATGGTTTCTGGGTTAGTTTTCGAGGTCACACAGTTCCAAGGTAGGAGTAATGATCCCAACTGTTCTTTGAGCCTCGTAGTCCTTTAAAATGAGCATAATGGCGGTGGCGTTATCATATAAATCGAGGCTGATCACAAATGGCGAATGACAGGATGATCCGTAAACTTAAGGTTAAATTTTCAAAGTGCGAACTGGCTGTGTTAAAGTTAGTACTCACCTACCGCGTACTGGACTATACTAGTTGTGAGGGCTGATGAAGCTACCCAGTTGCCCAGACTAGAGTGGGTAGGAAGGGACTCGAACCTAGGACTCACTAGCTGAAAGCTGAGTCCTAAAATATTGAGGCTCATCCTCACAAGAGTTGATATAGTAGTTCAGGCATAAGTATCTAATGCGGTGTACGTCAGTCTTGTAAATTTTAGGTATTCTGCTGTAGAGGAAGTTCAGACATGCTGTAAATTGATATTCTTTTTTATTTCAAGTTCAAAACAAAGTAGGGCCCATTACAAGTACGTCAAAACTTCAGGAAATGGAGGAATAATTTAGCAATATTAGGTTCATTTGCTCATTTAGTGAGCTTTAAATAGATGGTGACGTTGGTTGAAAGTCAGATTCCTTGGTTGTTATTAGATAATTATGTAAAAGTGTGCTATATTCAAGTTGGAAAATAGTATGGGGTGCTTATGCTCTGGAACTCAACTGTTCGTAAATACATGGTAGGTTCGCTTTTATAAATGAATATAACCTACTTTTTCTGCGCATACTTCGCTGTTGGTTTTAGGCTTTCAGGGCTTTTATTAACTCAGGCAATCGGCAGTTGAGATGTTTAAGGAAACCTCTACTTGTTATCATCCAGTCAAGATCTCACTGAAGTCATTGATTTACTGTCTGCTATTCTTATAGACTAGTATAGAAAACCGTTTCATTTTAAATCTGAATTTGTTGTCTCAGTAGTTGAAGGTCCGAATTATGGATACAAGCTGACTGAAGTCAGTTTAAAGGATCTTTAATATTTTACTGAAAATCGAAATAATAATCAAAGATCACTGGTGCTTGCTGGTAATTTCATTAGCCATTTTCTTGGATCGATCATTATCTTTATCCCATCTACATAACTATCAACCATTAGCTACATTTCATGTTAGAAATGTGTATAAGTATATTTCACATTTGTATACGCTGCTTGCTTGCTTTTTTGTATAGTGTTCTTAAATAATGTTGGGGTACTCTGTTTAACCATAATTATTTCTTTTTAGTTGGACTTGATGCAGCAGGAAAGACAACTATATTATATAAACTTAAGCTGGGAGAAGTAGTCACAACAATACCAACAATTGGATTCAATGTAGAAACTGTGGAGTATAAAAATATTAGTTTCACTGTATGGGATGTAGGTGGTCAAGACAAAATTCGACGCTTGTGGAGACATTATTTCCAGAATACACAAGTATTTTTTGTTTTTTTAATTAATCTAATATATTTCAGGGTCTCATATTCGTGGTAGATAGCAATGATCGTGATCGTATCGGCGAATCTGCAGACGAATTGAATAAAATGCTCTCAGAGGATGAATTACGTGATGTTGTAATATTAGTTTTTGCCAATAAACAAGACTTACCCAATGCAATGTCAACTGCTGAAGTTGCAGAAAAATTGCGTTTACGAGAAATTCGCAATCGACCTGTAAGTGTAGTTTGATTGAATTTGTTGAATCTAATCTAGTCTTTCATTTTGATTTTCATCTCTAACTTAAATGTTACACCCTGGCATTAAATTATTTCTTAAATTGAGTATTTTGATGGGAGCCTAGTATGGATTATTTTAAGGTGCATATGTGGTTCATTGGCTCAGGCATTTGACATTTGGCTAGTGAGCTTCAATCTGTGAAACTAGGTAGTATCATCAACCTTTACACAATAAGTATGACTCATGCCGTGGTACATGACAAACCTGTTCCGGGTAAAAGTTCTTAACCAACTAACTGTATGTTACATCATGTATGAGTCCAAAAACTTCTAATATATTTACGTATTTCAGTGTATCAGTTGCATTTCGCAGTTTAATTAAATGTTCTGTATTGAGATAAATTTCGCCACAAGCCAATACTATCCAGGATGCCATTAAAAGCTAAGAACCACTGAACAGTTGGAATTCTTCATTCGGTGTTATTTTGGGACATTTTACTTAGACAAATCAACATTCTCGACATCAAACTTAACATTATTAAATGACGATATCAGTTGCCATATGTGCGATTTCCAACATTTTAATACAATGGTGCATATTAGTGTTATTCAACAACTACTTACAATTTCATGCAGTTGGTAATGAGCCACGCCTGTTGCTTGAACGTTGGTTAAGCTCCCCGGTGCTGTGTAAACTTCGGTGTATAGAGTAGGGTTGGAAGTCGAGTGCCTAGACCAACTAGCCATAGCTCTGCACTGTCGCACATATTAGGATTCGAATGTCTGTCTGTCTGTTTTCAGCATAGGACTTTGCACCGATGTGCAGCAGTTCTAGTCGCCACACTTCACTCAGCACACAAAGCAAGAGAAGAAAGTAGAAGAAATGCAAAATAGAGACAGTAAACAGAGATATGAGCCAAAAAGAATAGTAATATCGAAGAACAATATACTTTTATTGGGTATTGTAAATCACAAGGAGTGGATGAATCTGCGCCATCTATTGAGAACGATTTCCGGCCATATCACCAATTGTCTCCAGTCATTGGTGTTTACCGTCCGGAGGACCCCAACCAGTCAGGAAGTCTACATCTTCCTACGTGGCTTAAAGTAACTTGTGGATTTCATCGACTGGTGCTATGTTGTGGTTTGACCACAACTGGCCCCTTTCCAACCTGACCCTATGTCAGCCAACATTGCCCATCGAGGAAGGCGATGGCTGGGCATTCACGCGTAACACATGTCCTGACCATCTCAATCGTCGATTAATTTCCCCTCTTTACCTAGTACTCGACCGACGCCTCACCTCAATATTGCTCACCCTATTATACCGTTTAGCACGGGAAATTGAACGTGACTCGAATTGTAGAATCTTTGTGACTAATGTCACAGCTAAACCACTTAGTTACTGAACTTGCGCTAAATTTCTGTATAACATTACGCATATAAATTATTGTATAGTATGTCAAAGCATGATATTTAAAGGTAGTGTAGTGTTGGCTTATGATGAACGTCTCTGCATTCTTCAGGAATGCACTATCCTTAAAGAAAGTAAAAAACAAAAGATTACTCAGTGGTTATTTTCAATGTTTGTACTGTTATCCAAGTGAGTGAGGAATAGAGAGGTTTCGCGTGCTCTTCGGGTTGTGAGGGCGATTGTTACTTCCCGGCTGCCCACACCGTGGAAGTTGGTTGCGTGACCGCAGAGCCCAGGGGACAACTGCTTGAGGCCGGTCACACACGGCCTGTTTTTGTTTGTTCTTTTTTATTTGGTGTGTCTCAGTAGCGTATTTATCACTTCTGCCCTGTGACACGGCAGCAGAAAGCGCAGTCGTTGTTAATCCGGGCCCCGACCGATCCGGCATGATATTTTGTGATTTGTTTGAAGTCATAGGGTTGAATTGGGTAACTGCTTTTAGTCTAACCGCTATCCAAAACAACCTTTCTGGCATGGTAAGACCTGCAGGAACATAAGTACCAGCCAGTATAGCTTGTTGGGTCATTGCGGTGTTCAAGCCCGACCACCACATCAAGGTAGCAGCTTTCGGTCGGGTACTTGTCAAAACTCTATTGATTCTCTTCACTCATTTTCTTGTCTACCTTTGTGTGCTATTTGGAACGTGGCAACTCGAACTGCTGCACTTCGGTGCCAAGTTCTATGTTGAATCCAGACAGACAGTTATCTAAGTGAAGTGAATAACACACTAACCAAATAACCATTTTCATTTTAATGCACTTAGCAGTAAACTACACTCTATGGACTCAAGGGCTGTTTTGGTGCTTTTTAGCTTTCCAAACCATTATAAGTAGGCACATCCATGTGAGAATCTATATGGGATTATGTGCATATTTTCAGTCCTCGCTGGTATAAATATGACTTCTTTCGACTGAGCTGTTTTTAGTCGTAGTCTTTTTTCAGTTGAGTCTTCATAAACAAAGTCGTGTGAATTCGATGAGCAGGTCTTGGTTAGCTATGTACCAGTCATAGAATCCCATCAAGTAAGACTTTATTTTCTCTCTAGTGTATTTACTGCTACCTGGCTCATTATGAGGATAAATTATCTATTATTCTCTTTCAGTATTTTGTTGGTACAGCAAGTTGAGTCGTTATCATTAATAAAAAGCCTCTGGTGATTTATGTGGAAAGCCGTGAGGCAGTAAATAATCTAAGAAGACATTGTGGAGTGGTCACGCTATGCCAGGAATTGGCAGAAGTTAGAATTCATGGGCTGGTCATTGGATTGGGTCCCAGTAGCTTAAGAGTCTACGAGCTCGCTAGCCTTGTAACCAGAAGGTCGTGGGTTCGAACCCCTATAGTGGTGGGTGCACACTGTGAAGAGTCCCAAACTGGGACGAAACAGCTGTCCAGTACTCTCTACTGGTTTTCCAATAGTTTGGTTCTCTAACCAATGTCAGCTCATGATGAAATCCTCCAACTAATTAAATCAATGTTTAGTGTTGACATAATTCAAGAAGCTAAAGTGTTGTGTTTTGGTTGAGAATATCATTGTATCGACTGATTCACTAACTGAATTTAAACGTAGAACTCGGCACAGAACTGCGGCAGTCCAATTTGCCACATTCTATGTAGCACACAAACGTTGAAAAAAGGCGTTCAAAAATACTACAATGAGCAGAAGGGTTAGGAAGAAAGAGCAGTAACATGGAAAAACATTACTATTTAATGGATCTGTGAGATTACATAAAGCGTGAATACATTTGTACCGCTGAAGACTATTTTGCATCATATCTCCGATAGTCTCCAGGCATGGGCTCTTAGTATCCTCAAGACCCCACCCCAACTAGGCAACCTACGCCCCCATATGTGGCTAGTTCAAACCAATTGTCAAAATCTTCATGAATTGGTGACTTAGCATGCGCAACACATGTCCTTCACACCCCGATCGGTTGACTTACCCTCCTTACCTAACACTACGCCTAAACCCAGTGCAATTTAACACGGGATGTGTGTCTTCAACTTTCAATGGCCACATCGTACAGCCATAAAGGAGGACTGAGCGAAGTGTTGTACAGTTAACACGTCCTTTGATCGACAGTCGGATATCTTGTCTACGCCATGGTTAACGTAAGTTGACAAGTGTCTGTATCTGTGCTGAGATTTTGTTAGCACTTAGTGCATTGGAATTAACGCGATTTCTTGAATAAGTGAAATGATCAATGCCCTCAGCCACTTCACTCTTTATCTTCAATTTAGAGGTTATTGTGTAGTTCAACTCCTGCAGTACCGGTCTTGCATTTGACAGGTGTGAATCACATACATGTCAAATATTCAAGGATTTCTGCTCACGATTTTCAAGAGACTGTGCATTTTATCAGCGTCTTCTTCCGTATACTCTAAGTATGCGGAAGTATATTTGATTTTATTGTACAAAACATTCCTAATGGCACATAAGACTTCAAGCTAAAGCGTTAATGTTCCGGTAGCAGTGGTGTCATTTTTACCGGGTGAGATTGCTATCCTCAAGCTCAAACTTCCCCATTCACCGGCCTTACCACCGACATAGCGAGGTTTATGAGTACATCAGTTGGGGATCGAACTCCGGACCATGTGACGTGGTGTGATTGACCAGCGATCTACTGCTGAACTGCCTGTAATTTGCGCGTAGTTACTGAGACCATCAGTAATGATTATTATTATTATTGTTTCCTTTAATTCCTAGAGGAACATAGGGCTTCAACCGCATGTCTCCATTGCGTTCGGTCCTCTGCCAGCGTTTACACCTGGCTCCAAGTCTGCCCACATGTTTTCATCTCCTCTTCACATGACCTCCTCCCCCATATCACCCTCGCACTAACGACCAACTCGCCGCTTCCCGTTTGGGTTCCACTCGAGGGCTTGTCTAGTGATGTCACTTGATGGTTACTTACTTTACTTTACTTCGGCTATCTCCTACGGGTGGATGAGCCGGCTTCATGAACATCTCGAATCAAGAGAGTTCATGAAGTTTCATGGGAATTCGGTACGAGTGATGTCCCCAGAATCGCTCGGCCTTTTGTTTGAGAGTGCAGCTCTAGCCTTTACACAACCAAGTGTGACCTACAAGGCAGTAGGAGTGGAGTAGGGAGTCCACTATCCATTGGCAGTCGGTGACCGGAGTTCGGTTCATACGCCTTTTTGAATGGGGCCAGACATCCAGGACATCCAACAAGCCCTTTGTCCATACGTCTGCCGGTGAGCTCCAGTGAGCTTCATACGCCAGTCGTTGGAGGTTTGGAATCAGGGTTTAGCCATCTCCCCTAGACTGTCATCCAATGGACAGTCAACCCGGTGAAGAGCGCCGGGCATCCGCTTTCGCCCTCTCACTTAGGTGAAAAACACCTCCGCCATGTAAAGGCAGTGAGTAGGACTTCCTCGGGAGAGGCTATGTAAGACGCCCAGTCATATGGGAGCATTTGAAGAGGTGTGCGGAGGGTGGCCAACCCGCAGCGCAAGGCACCCACCCCCGACCATCCTGAGGCTTTGAAGGCCTTGATGGTTCCCTCAGAATATGACTAATCCACCTCCATCTCTTCCTGCTTATTTGTTGCACAATCGGTTCCTGGTTGGTTCGCTCATTGCCAGAGATCCCTCCCTGTTGCTGATCTTTTCTGGCTGGCCATCTGATCTTGAATAGTATTGAGCGAAGACAGCTGTTAATGAAAGTTTGTAGTTTGCTCGAAGCGCCCTTCGTGACGCGGCACCAAGTCTCTGATCCGTATGGTAAGTAGCACTGAATTCACATTGGAGTTGAAAATCCGGATCTTATTTTCATTTTCATGCTGAGTGATGAGTGCTGTTGACCTCCACACAGACTTGAGAGTAATGAAAGCTTATCTTGCTTTCGGGATCCTCTCTGCTTTGATATCCTCGTCAGTTCCGTCCGCCTGTAGTTGAAACGATGCTTCCCAGGTAGGTAGGTAGGTAAAGGAGGTTGTTTCTTTCAGGTTCCTTCCACAACTGTCACTAATGATATAATATTATCTCCTTTATTTCTTATACTAAATCTAGTGGCATATACAATGTGCTTGTGCTACACAAGGTCAAGGACTATTCGAAGGTTTGGATTGGCTATCGAATGAACTATCCAAACGATCCTAGAATATATGAAAACTCTTTCACATCAATCACTCCTCTTTTTTTTTAAAAAAAAATACCCAAAAAACAAAACAACCACTACAATTACTTAATTTACACACAAGTACACATACATATGTACAATGGATGGTCAATATTTTCTGTAAAATAAAACAAAGAAGAACCAAAATCTGAACAACCGATGTTTCTTCGTTTTCCCCCTTGTTTCTTTCTGGATTTCTAGGCGAGAAAAGTAAAAATTCTCTTTTATTTTTGTTTGTTTGTTTGTTGTTTCCCAGTCATAATATTGCCTGTTGTTAATGTTAAATGAGTTAGTTATACATAATAGTAGTAATTTCTGTATACCTGGTGTGTGTGATGAAGGGAGAGTGTATCAGAGGATATTCCATTGCATAAAGCCATACAATAATACCACTTTATTCCGAGTGCTTCATTGCTATATATATGTATATGTATATGTAAACTGCTTACTTTTGTCTGTTGTGAAGGTTTATTCTTATTCTTATTTTTTTGTTGACACTGATGACGATGATTATTATTATTATTATTACCCATATCAATTTTTGTTTTTGTTTTTCCACTTTCTTTTTCTATAACATACATGCGTATAATGTATTTTGTTGAGATACCTTGTTACCTTGTTCTGTATGATTGGATTATGTCTGCCTATCTATCTGTTTGTCCGTCTGCCTGTCTGTTTTCAACGTAGAACTTTGCATCGATACGCAGCAGCAGTTCAAGTCGTCACACTTCCTCCATGTAGCACACAAAGCAAGAGGAATGCAAAATAGAGACGGTTAACAGGGATATGAAACAATAAGTAATAGTAAATAACGAAGAACAATATAGTTTCATTGGGGATTGATTATAAGTCACAAGGAGTGGATGCATCTAACTGCGCCAGCCAGCCATTGAGAACGATCACTTTGAGTCATATCACCGATTGTCTCCGGCCTTCATTGGAGTTTACCGCACCGAGGACCCCAAGCAGTTAGGAAATCTACACCTCCCTCCCTACGTGACTGGCTGGCCTGAACTAACTGTTGTTGATTTCATTGACTAATGAGGCAACGTTTTGGTTTGACCACCACTGGCTCTTTTCCTACCTGACTCTATGTCAGTTAACATTGCCCTTCAGTCGAGGAAGGTGATGGCTAGGCTAGGCATGCGTAACACATGTCCTAACCATCTCACTCGGTGTAGCTTCACAGTCTCGTCGATTGATTTCCCCTCCTTACCCATCTAGCACTCGACCGACGCCTAACCTCAATATTGCTCACCCTATTGTACCACCACTTCACACGGGAGATGGAACGCAGACACACACCTATGATCAAAGACAGCTAGCTGGCCTTTTCATGTCTTCTACTCTCTCTCAATGGCCAGGTCTCGCTCACAGTGATAAAGGAGGACGGAGCGGACTGCTGAGCAGGACACACTCGGCCTTTGGTCGATAGCTGGATATATCTTGCGCATTGGCTTTAAGCACTACCACCAGTGGACTTTTAGTCAATCGGTCTGTCTAAGGTTTGGGTCCTAGCTCCATCTACTTCAGCCTGATCAAGTGGATAGCATCATTAGCTGTCGCACAATCATTGTCAGGAAGGGTATTTCGTCCTGTTTTAGCTTTTCGTGATTCATTGTCGTATACATGCATTCACCTGTTTGTTGGTGTGTGTGTGGTTCAGTTTGCTTTGAAGGAAAAACTCACCAACAATTGATCTCGAATTTTTGACTAAAACAAATAATATAAAACAAGCAATAAAGGTTAATAAAGCAGGATTTAATGAATTCATCAAATTTCGATAGAAGTCGTCAGCTGAAGGATATTTTATCTAAGAATGGATATCCTGAGAAGTTCATTAATAAATACTCTAAAGAAATTAGCCCCTCCAAAACAATCCAAACAGTTCCGAAGAAATCTGTCTATATCGCTTTGCCATTCAAAGGAGATGATATGCAGGAAGTAGTCAAACGAAGACTCGATAAAGCCATCAAGAGAACGTATTATGCTGCAAAACTTGTCATCCTTAACACCACCAAGCGAGTGCTTCAACAATCTGCGAAAGACCAGTCGCCAATCCTGGACACTTCAAACTGTGTATATCATTTTGAGTGTTCAAGTGTTGGTTTGTAGGGATTTGATTGGTTACAGGATTTTCATCATGAGCTGACTTTAGTTAGAGAACCATTGGGAAACCTGGGAGTACTGGACAGCTGTTTCGTCCTAGTTTGGGACTCTTCATCAGTACGCACCCACCGGGATTCGAACCCAGGACCTCCTGGTTACAAGGTGAGCTAGCTCGTATACCATTAAGTCACTGGGACCCGATCCAATGGCCCATGAATTCTAACTTTTGCCAATTCACGACCTAGCGCGACCCATAGCCAATGTCTTCGGCGAGTGTTTGTCCTCACACCCGACCTGCTGCACCCCAGGTAACTACCTACCTGAATAGGGCAAGTCGCTAGTGAGCATCTCATTGATATTCAAGTGTTGGTTTGTAGGGATTTGATTGGTTACAGGTTACAATGGTTCTCTAACTAATGTCAGCTCATGATGAAAATCCTGTAACCAATTTGAGTGTGTTTGTGGAAGTAAATACATAGGTCGTACAGAAAGGCGATTGTCTACTCGCATGATGGAGCATTTGCCAAAATGGTTGAAAACAGCTGAATGCAAAGTTCCAAAATCCTCAATAACAAAACATCTTGTGGACTACGGACATGATATCGACGCGGTCAAGTCATTCACTATTGTCAGAAGACAAAAAAAACAAGAAGATGCTTTCAATTGCCGAGGAGGCTTGTACAATTTGAGTTTACAAACCAGGTCTCTGTGTACAAAGGGAGATGGTCGTGACTCTGAATCTACCATGGTAATACGTCTTACTTATAACTCTACCTCTTATTATTATTACCATTATGATTATTATTCTTGATTCATTTAAAACTATCCTTTATCAGTAGGATTATCTTAACTCACTTCAACACCATTATTACTATTGTTATTATATCTATTACTATTGATATTACTCTGTTTGCAATTCTTGTCATATTCTCTAATGTCTAATTGTTTATCTAAGTGATGTAATTGAAGCGTAATGCAATTTATCTTAATTTCAATCTCTCATGACCTGGAAAACATTCGCACCTGTCTTTCTGCATGACTAATTCAATGTAGTTTGTTTACTTATCAGTCTTATATCTCCCAATGTAATTTCAAAAGTACACATATATCCGTGTATGTAGAGTACTGAGCAGCTGACGAGTTCTACCGAAATTTGATGAATTCATTTGTTAACCTTTATTGCTTGTTCTAAATTCGTGTCGGGAAATAAATGTTTACAAATAATATAGGCGATTTCGATTACATACTCAGAAGGAGGAATACTAATAATTGCGTTGGCAGACCATTTTTAAGTAACTTCATCTTTCCCGACCGAAAGCTGCTACCTTGACGTGGTGGTCGGGCTTGAACACTGCAATGACCCAACAAGCTATACTGGCTGGAACTTATGTTCCTGCAGGTCCTACCATGCCAGAAAGGTTGTTTGGATAGCAGTTAGACTAAAAGCAGTTACCCAATCCAACCCTATGATTTCAAATAAATCACAAAATATCATGCCGGATCGGTCGGGGCCCGGTTTAACAACGACCGCGCTTTCTGCTGCCGTGTCACAGGGCAGAAGTGATAAATACGCTACTGAGACACACCAAATAAAAAAGAACAAACAAAAACAGGCCGTGTGTGACCGGCCTCAAGCAGTTGTCCCCTGGGCTCTGCGGTCACGCAACCAACTTCCACGGTGTGGGCAGCCGGGAAGTAACAATCGCCCTCACAATCCGAAGTGCACGCGAAACCCCTCTAATCCTCGCTCATCTTTGTCTTCATCTTCATCTCTATTATCTTGCCTTCCCTCTACCAATGCAACTCCCCTACTTGTTGGCTCTTCAATTCCTCTTCACTCTGTGTGCACTGACAACGATGGAAGCCAAAAAGCCACCACCGATGGTCTCCTAAAACCACGCCACCAATTTTATATAGGAGCATTTAATGTTAGGACACTCTGCCAAATAGGACAACAAGCATCACTAGCCAAGACTCTGGCATCCCGAGCCATTGATGTATGTTGTGTTTCAGAAACACGCATACAAGACCCAAGTGTGGTTACTCACCTAACCCCACCTGGCCAACAGGATGAATCTGCAAAATTCACCTTGAGGGTGTCAGGAGATGCGACGGCTAGCTCACGAGGATTAGCTGGTGTTGGGATAGCTTTAAGTACTAGAGCAGAAAAGACACTACTTGACTGGATCCCGGTAGATAGCCGAATGTGTGCTGTCCATCTGAACGGATCAGTGAAAAGGAGAAAGGACTGCACTACCCGCCGATGCCTTTTCGTAATCTCCGCCTACGCCCCCACTGACTGCAGTTCGGATGAAACGAAGGATGAGTTCTACCAAAAGTTGTCTAGTTTGCTGCAAAAGGCTAGACGCTCAGATATAGTCGTCTTAGCTGGTGACTTTAATGCTCAAGTAGGGAAATTGTGTCAATCTGAGAAGAATGTCGGTGGCACATACGGAATTCCGTGCCAGCGAACCGACAACGGTGACCGTCTCCTACAGTTCTGTTCAGATAATCATTTGTATCTTGTAAGCACTAACTTCAAACACAAGGAGAGACACTGTTTGACCTGGCGACCCCCATCATCAAATCAACGCTGGACACAAATAGACCACATAGCAATAAGCTATCGTTGGCGTGGGTCGGTAGGAGATTGTCGCTCCTTCTGGAACACGTGTGTAGATACCGACCACGCACTGGTCCGCGCTCGTGTGTGCTTACGACTGAACGGACGTAGGAAACAGCTGGCGGTAAACCCATCACGTCCCCAGCTCGACCAGGGAACTAAGTCCCTATTTGAGGAAGAACTAGCTAAACACATATCTGAGTTCGACAGCTGCGCTCACCCTGAAGAAGCCTGGAAGAATATTCAGTCAGCCATAGATACAGCTGTAAAAGCTGTGAATAAGGTAAATCCAAAGGTGAGTAAAAACCATTGGATTTCGACTGCCTCATCCGAACTGATAGATGCTAGAAGACTTATTCCGGCGAGCTCCGAATTCAATGAGGAGCGAAAGCTGCACAAAAAGAAACTTACGAAAAGTCTCCGCAAGGACCGTGAACAGTGGTGGTTGACAAAGGCGAAAGAGATGGAAAAAGCATCGGCAATAGGCAACACCAGACAACTATTCAGGCTTATCAGGGAAACAGGTGGTAAAAGGCAAATGATAAGCGAAACAATCTCCGAGAAAAATGGCACCATAATTAGCTCCCAGGATAGACGTCTGGAGCGCTGGAAAGAACACTATGAGGAGCAGTTTAATTGGCCCACAGCCACACTTAACCTGCCGGACATCCAACACCTCCCTGAGTGGG